TGAACAAAGCAGGGAGCTGTGGAAACTTGGCAGCCTTCCTCAGCTGCTTGAGTATCATTCTCATTGTGCAAGCACACTGCAAAAATGCAAGCTTGTTATTTTTCAAATGCTAATGAGGATGCAGTGCTGTTCTCTGTCCTCCGGTGCTCTCAGGGTGGGTTTTCTAATAATCTTTTTTTCTTTAACAGGAGCACAGTGGATCCACTGTCCCATCTATTTTAAACAGGATGCAAACCAATCAGACCCCGCCAACATACAACAAAACTAACAAGTTTACTTCTGGTTTTCAAAACATTGTTGATGCTTATGGCATTGGAACATACCGGGAAATAAATCCAGGTAAATTCATACTTGTAAAAGTCCAAGACATTTATCTCCATTTTTGTCATCATGATGTTTCTCTGTATTGTCTGTCTTGTGTCAAAGTTTCTAATCAAGTGCTTTAGACCTTTCAGAAGCAGAGGAGAAGCCTGGGAATTATATTGCTAAATTGTGTAAATTGTCCTATTGGACAATCTGGGCCCTATCTGGGCTTCCTCAAACACCAGGAATGTCGTGCTTTAGACCTTTCAGAAGCAGAGGAGAAGCTTGGGAATTGTATTGCTAAATTGTGTAAATTGTCCTATGATGAATCTGGGCTTCCTCAAACACCAGGAATGTCATTTTTCTCTTGCAGCACCGTACACCATCATCACCTTCCCCTTTCTGTTTGCTGTCATGTTTGGAGATTTTGGCCACGGGATCCTGATGACCCTGATTGCTGTCTGGATGGTGTTAAGGGAAAGTCGGATTCTGTCACAGAAGAGTGACAATGAGGTAAAGTGGCAGGTCATGCTGAGCTTTGCATTTTAAACCAAGGAGCTGCAGCTCCTTGGTCCCATCCTTGCCCCTTGAGTTGAGAATGCCCATTTCTCCTTATGTTTGAAGCTAATGAAGCACATAGAGAAGGAAGCTTGTAGGCCACAGACTGAGTAGTTTCATAATAACAGTGAGTTCCTTTGGTTTTACTTTCAGTTGTTTGAAGGAAATTCTTTCTCCAGTTTAGTAGATGAGCTGTTGTAAACGAATCACCCAAAACCTGGCTGGATCACAGAGGTGTTCAGTCACTGCAAAACCCCTCATTTCTGCATGTGTATTTCCAGGATTCTTCCTGTTTGCTGATCTAGGTGGGTTTTGCTTCCTCAGGCCTTAGGTTGGCAGGAGGTGACCCAGAGTCAGGATGGAGAAAACAGAAGAGGGTCTACCCTGCCTGGTTCCAGTCTGGTGCTGCCAGGCTGGCATCAGTGTCTGCAGTGCAGTGTGTCCTCCCCAGCTGAGCCCAGGTTCCCTGCAGACAGTCACCCTGCCCCTTTATCCTCTTCTCAGGTTCTGCTCTGCAGGGTGGCCTCTTGCTCCCCTAATCCCCACCCCAGGGAAATGGACACTTGGGCTTTTAGGCTGATTGTTTGTCCTGCCCCTGACTGATTTTGCTGTTTCATCTTTATGAGAGACCTTCCTTGTTCTTATGGACTCTATTTGTTCCTTTTGTTGTTTTTTTCAAACACAAGATGTTCAACATGGTTTTCAATGGCCGATACATCATTCTGCTGATGGGCCTGTTCTCCACCTACACAGGCCTCATCTACAATGACTGCTTCTCCAAGTCTCTCAATCTGTTTGGTTCCTCATGGAGTGTCCGGCCCATGTTCTACCCCAGAGGCAACTGGACGTGAGTAAACATTTGGCAACTAGATAAAAGGTGACAGGGATGGGCAGGTGACTGTCCCCATTATCCTCCCAACTCAGGAAAACACAAACTTTCAAATCAGGCCCAAGTAGAATTGGAAGAGGGATAAAAATGTGATACCTATTAAGTTTCAAACAGGCTTTTTTTTTAGCTTTTCCCAGGAAGGTGCTAAACTGCACTTTTGCAAGTTTTTTCCTCTATGACATGGCTCAAGTCCTGTCCCCTGTGACACCAACAGTCAAGAGACAGGATTAATGTTCTGGAAAATCTCTAGGACCACACAGGAACCTTGAAGTTCTCCCAATCTGAGATGGTCCTTGCTCTCACAAGGGAAGGATGTTGTTAGCTTTTACAGAAGGAGGACAGTGTTGGTTGTGCTCATGTTTGTATGATCTTCTGGCACCCCAACAGAGATGAGGTGGTTGCCACCACTCCCCTGCTGCAGCTGGACCCGGCTCTCGCAGGGGTGTTCGGCGGACCCTACCCCTTCGGCATCGACCCGGTGAGAGCTTTTCCTTCCTTTGCTGCCCTTTAACAACACCCTCTGTGTTAGAAGAGAGAAAGAGCCTTTCCAGTTCACTGTGAAGGATTTCCATACCCCAGCCATTCCCTTAGCAACCTCTTCACTAATGTTGGAAATATTACTGGACGATAAAATTAATTCTGTTCCAACTGAGACACAGGATGGAGAGACTTATCTTGGCGCCAGTGAGGCTTCCTCCTCCCCCTTTCTAACTTGCAGCATTTTAATCAATCTGGTCATATTTGAAAATCCCTTTATGAAGCTCCCTTTTTACCTTGGGGAAAATTATTTATCATATTTTTCAGTCAATCTTGGAAAGGTAAGTTTCCAAGTAATCCAGTCATTTTGTCTCTGCTCTGTTTTGTACACTGCTCCTAACATCCCTTACAGTACCTGATACAAAAATTGGTGTGTTCTACTTTAAAGAGGGAGTGTAGAAAATCAGAACTGTGTAATTGTTAATTTAAATGGATAATATTTTTTTAATCTATCAAGCATACAGCCTCCTTTTTCCTGCAATGTATGCCTACCATAAAAAAGATATCCCCGTGACAAACGTGTTTTTTAAAAAACCTACTCTTGCAGCCTGTGTGGTTAATGCTGTTTAGCTTAAAGTGAACATTGTAATTCTGCTCTGTTTTTCTTTTACTCAGTGTCTGCCTGACTTGGTGTTGTTTTTCACAGATTTGGAACATTGCCACCAATAAGCTGGCCTTCCTCAACTCCTTCAAGATGAAAATGTCTGTGATTCTTGGCATCATCCACATGCTCTTTGGTGTCACGTTGAGTCTTCTCAACCACATGTAAGAGCTTTGCTCCATTTCTCATGGGTGGGGGGACCCTCTCTGTGTGAGATGTGTGTGCAGGTTGAAGATGCAGGAACTGCCCAGGACCACCCACTGGGGGAAGGGTACAGCACAGTTGTGCTGTGCATGTCAGACCCTCACTGTCTTTAAGCCCCAGCTACAGTTGAAAGGCTGAGCCCCTGCAGTTTTGTTCCAAAGATGCTCTTCATGTTCTCATTGCAAGTTGCTGCCCCACATGTGCCTGATGCTATCCGTCATTTTAAACTCTCTTTTTTTTTTTTTTCTGTAGCTATTTTAAGAAGCCACTGAACATATACCTGGGATTTATTCCAGAAATGATTTTCATGTCATCCCTGTTTGGATACCTTGTTATTCTCATTTTCTACAAGTGGACAGCCTACGATGCTCACACCTCGAAGGAGGCACCAAGCCTTTTAATACATTTTATCAACATGTTTCTGTTCTCCTATTCTGACACCAGTATTAAGATGCTCTATAAAGGGCAGGTGGGTGCCTTGGCTGGAATAAGATTGGACATTCTTCATGATATTAAGAGTCTTTCATTGACTTTACAATAATTATGAAATCAAGTGTAAAACTATTTTCTCTGTGATAATTTCCAAAGCCTGATGCTATGTAATAGTGAAGAAGAAAGGAATAATCCCTATACCAGGAATTTAGATCTGTCTGACCATAAGTCAGCTGTAGCTCCAGAGCATTTGGATCCAGACAAATAGTGGAAAGTGATCAGGAATGTTGTCCTGCATCTGCAGTGTGGTGCCTCTGAGCTTAGCTAAGGCACTAAGGCCCTTTCATCCCAGCACTATCAGACAGCTGCTAAACTGTCATTCCCTGCAGAATCTTTTGGTTTTTTCCTTAATCTAAACGGGTATCAGCATTAAATGCTGTGTTCAGTCAGACAGTGCAGCTGCAGGCAGGCACTCAGTGCAGTACATCCTGCTCTTCAGGAGGAGAGAGAGATAGGGAAGTGTCTGTGTCCCCTGGAGTTGTGCTGGGCTGTGTGTGGGCAGGGGCTGCCCCTGCATCCCCTCAGACTTCTTTCTTTCACAGCAAGGGTTCCAGTGTTTCCTCGTGGTGGTGGCGTTGCTGTGTGTGCCATGGATGCTGGTAGCTAAACCCCTGGTCCTTCGCCATCAGTATTTGAGGAGAAAGCACTTGGTGGGTGACTATTTATTTTCTTCTCAATATGGAAACTAAGGACAGTTGAAAAGCCACGTTCTCTGTCTTGGTTCTGGATACGTAGGTTCACTCCACACTGTGACCTGTAAAACATTAGGCATAAAGGCAGGTGGGTGTTACTGGAGACAGTATTGCCTGCTGGCTTCTCAGATCTGGATCCAGCATCAAATGTGCTTTTAGAAACCCTGTATGTTTCTAATGGTAAAACCAACATATCTGGCCTGGGCTTTGGATAGGAACACTGACTAGTTGCTGGATGCACTTGGATTGTGCTTTCGCTGGGCTGACAATATAAAGTTTAATTGGGTGGCAGAGTTATCAGCCATCCTGTTAAAGCAGTTTAGATGATAAAAAATAATCATTAAAAGGAAAAAAAGGAAATAGACCTGTGCAGTCAGTTTGTGAGAGGTTGTCTTTTGGGGTGCTCTGCAGGTTTCCAACTGCACTGTAAAGTATCTTGGTATCAATGCAGGAACCTGGCACACGTGCACCAAGAGCACTTGAGACTTCTCCCTGCATGTCTGGCAGACAGCTTTTGGGATGTTAAGTGAGTCAAAGATCAGTTCAGTTAAAGACATTCCCTCTCCCTTCTCTGACCATCTTTCATCCTCCCATGTCCCCTCCATTCGTCTCCCTTTCTCTTTTTGTTTTCTTCCTCCTCCCTCTCTCTTCTTCCATTCACTATCAGGAAGGGCAGCCCGTGGAGGCCCAGGTCAGCCCAGTCCCGAGCGAGCAGGCACTAGAGGCAGCAGCGGCTGCAACAGTGAGTGGACTTAAAAATCACCTGCTGGATTTAAAGACGGGAGTTGGCTTTCTATCTAATTATCAAGAGAGCATGGAATGTATCTGAATTTCAAAAGGGAATGACAACTGCACCTTTAGGGTGAAAAACACTTTCTCTTGGAAAGAGCAAAGTTCCGCAAAATCGATACATTCTGGAAGAACTACCAGGCTGAAGGATGGTAGTTGTGTGCACAGAATGCAGAGCACTTCTTTGCAGAGTGCTGCTGAAATCAGAGCCTGCAGAGCAGCACAAGAATACCTTGCTACCACATCCCCCCAAGGTTAAGTTCCCTTTTCCTTCTCTTGCATATTTGTTTAAGATAGATCAGGATCCTCCGTGTTCCCGTTTGTTTTGTGTTCCCAGCACCAGGTGTGTCTGGGGTCAGTGATGGCTGCACTTTGGAGAGCTCTGCCCCTGCAGGCACTTAGACTTCAAGCTATTGTAAAATGGTTGTGCACAACAAATCCTCCCAGTAGAGTTTCTTCTGAATATCTCTAAGCCCACAGGCAGCCCTCTACTGCTAGAGCTTCCCAGCAGTGGAGGCTGCAGCAGCTCCCACAACTTGGTCCCTTCCCCATACTGCACATTTCAACTCGGTTTTAGTGGCCAGTGCTGCCTGACTAGGAAGCTTAAACCTCACAAGCCATGTGAAGCACATTCTGCACCTCCCATGTCAAAGGCATTCTGAGGCACTTTTAGCTGTTAGCCAGTGTTTCTGTCATGACATTTTAAGTCGCCTCACGGAAATGTCAGACGTGAAAATGGTTCTTTTGTGCATAATCCATCCAGCTTATTAAGTGCATCTCAGTACCAGAAGCTGTGAGGGAAGGTCTTTGTGTGAGGTGTGGTTAGAAGTATAAAGTAAATGATTAGGGCTTTTGGAGCCATGTTTAGATTGGATAGTCCACAGTGGGATGTGGGATGGAAGCCAAGTGGGATGGAAAAGCTGCAGAAGTGCAAGTTCACACAGGCTAGAAATGCATTAATAGGGCACTGGTACTGGTGATTAGGAACTTGTAATGTTTCAAAGATGCTGAAAGTCCTAATTAAAACATTGTCTTATAAATATATTTTTTTCCATTTTCTGTCTAGTTTCAGAGTGTAAATGTCTATCTAATTTGCTTTTAGAAAACTGACAAAATTTTTAATTCACAGCTGGCATTTGGGCCAAATTTCTAGTTCAGCTTAAAATAAAAATAGGTTTCTAAGAACAAACCATTTAAAAGAAGATGGAGCAGCTGTTTGGCTAAGACACCAGAGCTCTGTGCAGGCAGGAGAGGGGACGTTGGGCCTCCTTGTTGGCATCACCATCCCTCAACTTTGTCAGTCCTGATGCCTCCAGTTAGCCCAGAGCTAACACAGAGCTTTTCTTTCCATTCCTGGCATTTCATTTTGCCTCTCCTGGTGACTCAGGCTCACAGGTCTTAATTCCCAGTCCCTCAGATCAGTCAGGAGCATTTTCTGTCTGTGGAGCATGTGGAGGGAGACAGCAATGCTGCTGTGCAGCTCCAAGCTGCTTGCTGGACAGAAACTCAAAGGTAGTGATGCACAAGGGAACGTTCAGTGTCCAATATGCATTTATGGTGCATGAAGGCTCTGCTGGAGGGCAGTGCCAGATGATGAGGGGGTTTGTGCATCCTTCCTTGGTGGCAGGAGGGCACAAAGGAGGGGGCCTGCACAGCTCTCATGGTCCCTGTGCAGTGGTGACAGTTGTCAGGTGAGAGGAGCTCCTGACCCTCACAGGCCTGACTCAGTTTGCAGATCATTCATGTCTGTTTGATGAAGTTGTGGCTGAGGGTCAGACATGGAGTGTCAGAACAAAGCTCTGTAAAAGGGACTGTTTGCACAGGGTAGGATTTCCGAGTGAGGGGCAGTTGGATTCCCAGGCGGGGCTGGTGAGCTGAGGCTGTGGGAGCACATGTGTCTGTGACAGCCCCTTCTGCTCTGAGCTCTGCTGTGGGACTTGTGTCCTTCACAAGAGCAGCAGGGTTCAGTCCTGTCCAACAGCTGCTGGGCAAAACTTTGGGCTGTTGCACCTCAGTGCCAGCAAATGTCCTCTTGAGAGATGTGCCTTTTGTTTTACTTAGGGTTGCAATTACTTTGTAGAAATGTATCAATTACTCATTTTTTTTTCAGGAATCTGTATCTTTCCCATCCAAGCTGGGGAATAGAATTGTACAGCTGGCTTAACCTGGGCCTCAATGTTTTGTTTCCTTCTGTGAGCTGCTGCTGCAGGTGGAGTCGTAAGAAACGTGCTCTGACAGTAAAGCACAAACAACATTTTGCTCTTTCTTCTTCTGCCTGTGTTAGGGAACGCACAACTTTGGTGGCATCCGGGTGGGCAACGGGCCAACCGAGGAGGATGCAGAGATCATCCAGCATGACCAGCTGTCTACCCATTCCGAGGAGGGGGAGGAGGTAAGGACCTGCCGTCCTCGCTCGCGGGGCCATGCACAGGGTGACTGAGGTGCAAGTGTTTTGCCTGTGTGAACTGATTTCTAAGCAGTTCAAATAACATTTTCAGTGAAGTGTGTTCATACAGACTCTCTCTCAGTCACTCCCAGGTCCCCAGAAAAGTTACAGAATTTGCACATAAAGGGAAAAGTGGCCCTGTCCCCATTACAAACAACCTCCCCTGCCGTGGGGGTCACACGGTGCTCCCAAGGGCAGCTCCTAGGCTGTGGCCAGGAGCCATGGGCTGCCTTCTGCAGCAATGAAATCATGCCTATATATTAATTTTGATTGTTGGGGGTAATAGTAATTGCTTTGCCTTAGCTCTGGGAGAGAATCACAGGAGTCAGTCTCAGGTGGGTGGGCAGCCTTGTGCTGCCTCTGGGCTGCTCTCCAAGGCCGTCCGTCTCCATAGGGCAGGTGACATGTCACTGCTTTACTGTGTCACGTTTAGGAGGGAGTTCCTGGATGTGTTGGTGATTAATGTTGTGATCCAGATGCTGCACTAAATGTAAACTTGTGTTTTCAAGCCTACAGAGGATGAGGTGGTAAGACTACAGCCAGCTTTGCCTCCCTGTGTACCTGGGCCATCTTCTGTTGGTGTAAAACACGCTGAGTTAAACACGTTATGTCATGACATCTTGTTTTCCAAAAGATCTGCCTATTGACACATTACATGCCATTTTTAATTCTTCATACACACATGCCCATTAACAGGCCTTTAATTGCCTCATCTATATAGCTTGTTTGTCATACCCCCTGTCTGCAGATCTTTCTTAGTTTATCTGAGAAGCTGTGAAGCTGCAAGTCTGGAACTGAAAAGCTTTTGAACTTCTGAAGAAGTCTCTTTATGTTGTGTCTTTGGTAATTCTGCTCTGCAAAAAACTGTTTAGAGATTTATTTATTTTTTCCCCAAAACTCTCTGCAATTTTAAGGATAGTACTGGTTGTTGCCAGCATGCAAGCACTGTGCCACAGCAACCCTGCCATTCTCCCACTCCCCAGCACGGTGGTAACTCTCTCCAGAAAGTTGTCACTGTGTAAATATTTATCACATCCCATTTACTGCAGGCTGACCTGCCATGTGTTTTGGGAGGTGGTGCTGTCCCCTGCAGCAGGCTTTAGTAAAGAACTCTGCACAGTTCTGTGGAGAAAGAATTAGGCTTTTGACAGCTAGTTTAGCTTAATTGTTTGAAAGATTTATTGCCCTGGATATACTAGGAGAGAAATAAGGTTAAAAATAGCTTTCTGTGCATGCTCAGAGCATTAGTAAGTTGATGTATTTAGAACATCATGTTCACTTAAATATGAGCAGTTTCTGAAGCAGGGATAAAATCTAAAACGTAGGGAATGTTTCCCAAGCTGCAGAGTAAGAAACTGTCCTACATGGCAGACTTCCTTGTAAGTTCTTTTATTATTATTTAAAAAAATTACCAAGACACAGAGACTTCGCCAATGAATGGTGCACAGATGTGACTTTTTCAAGATGGCTTTGTGCATTGTTTTTGCTCTCAAAAAGGGCAAATTCACATCTTGCAAAGTGTTCTTGTTGATCCTGTAGCAAAGGCATAGAGGCAGTATTGGCTTGGAATACTGTCTCCTTCCTCATAGAGGCACGTACCACTGACCAGTGAGTTCGTACGAGCACCATGTTGTTGCTGAACAGTCTTTTCCTGGCAAAGCCAATGGCTGGATTTGAAATTCCTTCCTTTCATACAACAGAATGTGAAAACAATAATCAAGCTGCAGCAGTGAGCTGTTGTTGTTCTACAAAACCTAGCAAGCCCAGATAATGCATTTTTCGTTGATGAAACTGATGTGCTAAACCAGGAGAAGACGGTGTCAGCGAGCTCCAGGCAGTGTCTGTGGTGGCAGCAGGCAGCGTGTCCCCCCTCGTCCCCCAGCCAGCCCTGGGCTTGCAGCTCTTCACTCTCTGCTCTCTTTGCAGTTTGACTTTGGGGACACCGTGGTGTACCAGGCCATCCACACCATTGAGTACTGCCTGGGCTGCATTTCAAACACGGCTTCCTACTTGAGGCTCTGGGCTCTCAGCTTAGCCCATGCACGTGAGTGTTCCCTGTGGAATGAAGATTGGATCTATGTCTCTGGTCACCCTGGGAGGGTGGCAGGGGAGAGGCAGGAGTGCAGGTCACCTCCTTGGAGCTCAACTGTCAGGCCCTGCTGGAGGACAGGGCTGTGTGTGCAGTAGCTGGGACTAATGAAGCCTGAACACCAGTGTCAACCTGCATAGCACTGCCAAAGCTGCCTGGGTCTGGGAGGGAGGGATGGAGCTGAAAGCACCAAATAAAGCAAAGAGCTGCTGAGCAGGGAACCTGCCCTGCTCAACAGTCAGGGACCATGTCCTGATGTTTGGGCTGCAACAGCTGTTGTCCCTCTGGAGTTTCTCACCTCATTGTGGTGAGAGTTTGCTTGACTTCAGTTTTTGTTTTCTAAGTAAACTGCAGCAGCCTTCCATTCTGAGTGTGCTGCAACAAGCCCCTTCTCCCCTCTCTCCTGGCAGAGCTCTCAGAGGTGCTCTGGACCATGGTGATCCACGTTGGCCTCAGCGTGAGGAGTCTGGGTGGAGCCTTTGGCCTCTTCTTCGTATTTGCTGCTTTTGCTACCCTGACAGTAGCAATTCTCCTGGTCATGGAGGGGCTTTCTGCCTTCCTCCATGCTCTTCGCTTGCACTGGTGAGTTACTGCCCTGCACAAGGGCAGCTTTGCCTGTCTGCCCTTCGGGGAGCTGTGGAACTGTTTATTGCTGGTCTGACTGGCTGATGCTTTGTACCCCCTTTCCTGTGATTCCTGAGCTGCTGTGTCTGCAGACAGCCAGTAAATAAGAGGGAATTGCTCACTAGAGAGCCCATCACTTTCCCTGCAAGTGTGGAAAGTGCTCAAGAACTTTCTCTAATCCATGTTTACAAGTGCTCATTGTTCCACTTCAGACTCCCTGGCTTGAGCTCTGATGGAATCACTGGAGCCACATGGGAATGGGGGTTGCTCACCCAGGGTTCCCTGCAGCCTCAAGTGGTTAAGGGTCTGTCTGTACATCTCCTCCAGCTTCTGCTGGTTGCTGCCATCTCTTCAGGAAGTTTCTTTCCTGATAGGTCAGGAGAAAAAAGTGAAGTTCAGAAGGAATAGTCAATCTCAAATGGGAGGAAAAGGTTGTGAGCACTTTGTAAAAGCAGTTCTGTGATTGAAAAAGGAAGCCAGTGCCTTAAAAGAAAAGGAAGAAAAAAAAGAAAAATAAGCCTTTTTGCACTTTTCCTCTGCTTGTGGGGAAGGGAAACTTTGTCCCTTGCCTTGCCTGTTGGCAGCCTGGGTTGCAGGCTGGAGTGTCTCTGTAGCACCAAGTGGAGCCTCCCCATCTTGTGCCCAGGGGGCTGCTGCTGAAAATGGCTGCTGGATGGTGCTCCTCTTTTTCCTGGCATCCAGCCTAGAAATCCTCATACCAGTCACTTGAGTGCTTCTTGCTGCCTGGCTGGTGTTTCTTCATTCTCACCCTGATGTCCCTGTCCCACGGGACAACACCCAGCTTGGGGACCAGGGAGTGAGCAGAAGCTCTGACCCCATCTGTGGTGTTTCTGATTGCAATTTCTGGCTGAATTTGTGGATTTTCAAAGTCTTGTTCCTCTGGATGTCAGTGCTGTGTGGCACATCTCTGACCAGCAGTAGATGAGCAGCTCTGAATAGCTTCTTTCCTTGCCAGGCTCTGATTTTCTCTTTTTACCCAAGGGGATGGGCTAAGAGAGGAAAGTGTTTTGGGGTTCCTGTCTCTTGGTAATAACCCAAAACTGCACTCTCAGGCACAGAGCTCCTGCACCAGGAGGTTGCAGTTTAGCCAAGAGGTGGCTTTCACATTGCCAGGCTATCTCCTAAGGGTGATTAAAAGTTGTCTGAAGTGTGTCAAGGGCAGATGTGTCACTGGGCAGCGACAGCACACGGGTCACAGCTGGGGAGCTGCACAACTGGAGCAGTCGTGTTCTCCCTAAAAGTGTTTCAGAGTTGTAAAACTTCAATGTACATTCTGCAAGAGAAAATCTGTTCAAGCTTAGGTCCCAAAAGGCAAGTTTAAGGCACTGTTTCAGGCTACAAGTAATCAGAATTTATTTTGCGTTTGTTGGATTTTCGTTATCACTGTGGAGAGGAAGGCACCTGCTTTTGTTCAAAAAGAACATGCTGTTGACATTCCTCTTTGCTTTTGAATGCAAAACCAGGATGTTTCCAGGGGTAGGTGTTCCCTTTTTAGAAGGAGAGGGGGGCGGAGGGGTGGGGGTGTCAAATACAGTTGTCCTGGGAGGAGCAGATAGGGTTTTCTGGCTGTGGGAGAAGAGTCACCTATCAGGAATTCTGAAGGTGTGGGTGGTTCAGCCTTCCTGGAAAGGAGGAGGAAAAAAAGCACAGCTTGTTCCATGTGCTCTGCCTATCAGTCTCAAGTGAAGATTTATTTTGTGCTTTTTCAGAACGTGTGCATTCTTTCAGCAGGTTGGGCTTTTCTGGGGTGGAGGAAGCACCCTGAGTGCTGCCAGGATTGCAGACATGTCACAGCCCTGGAGCTCAGGAGCTGCCTGAGCTCTGTCCCTCCTGGTGCTGTTCACTCCTTTTACTGCAACGTTATTGGCTCTTCAGTAATGCAGCTTGACATGAATGTTTAGATTAAAAGTAGTTTATGGGGGGTTTTAGCTGATCAGCAATTCTAATGTGAGCAAACACACTTTGCCCAAAAGGAGAAGTTTGTAGCTGGATTCAAAGTAGTCCCAACGTCATGGGTTGATGTAGGGATATGGTTTCAGTGGAGCTGTTTTCCTGTGTGAAACAGCATTTTAGGCTCAGTTTTAGGCCAGATTTGGAATTGGAAACTATTCTCCTTAGAATATATCTCAGGACTAGGCCACAGCTAGAGAGAATGGACAGCAGTAGGCATAATGCAAAGCAAATCAGGTTAATTTAGAGCAGTGAAGAGTGGAGTTTGTGCTGCTCTGCAGGAGTGAGGTTGGTGCAGTGAGCATCGTGGTGTAGAGGCTTCAGTTCCAGGGTGTGGAGCAGTCAGACCATGTTGTTCACTCTGGTTGCCCAAGTGTGTGTCTCAGACAGTCCCAGTCCAGCCTGTGGGTCTGGAGACCGTGGGGGCTTGGCCAGTCCTGTGGGTTTGGCAAGAACGGGGTCGTTTTGGCTGCTCCTGCTGCAGGTTTCAGACTGTCCTGCTTGGAGCTGCTGCTGCTCTGAAGGGCAGCGCAGTGAGTGCTGTGAGGTCTCTGCTGTCCTTCCTGGGCAGGGCTCCCTGCACAGCCCCCTGCTGCTTTCTGGCTGCAGGAGCTGCACCTGCCCTCCCCCGGGGGTGCCCTGAACCGCAGCCCACCCCAGGCCTGTACATGCCTGGGAGAACACAAAGGCCAAAAGGAATTTGCAGTTGGACCAGATCAAGGGTTCCTGCTCACCACTGGCCCTGCAGCTGCTTCCCACAGGACTGGGGAGCTGCCTCCTTCTCCACAGTGTGGATGGGTACTCTGTGACTGTTGGATTAAAAAATCCATATAACTACAGTCCAGCAAACACTTAAGCTAATTATTCATACAAAAAAGCTGAAGAGTGGGTTTTCTTTAACGCTGACTGCCAGAAAGCTCTCAAGCCTGTTTGTTTACAGGGCAGTGCTAGCTGTCCAGTAAATTCTTCTGCAGAACTTGATCAGTGGTGGGAGAGACAGAGAGCAAAGTTCAGCAATAGGGTGAGTACACAGGACAGAGGGTGGTCCTGGGAACAGCAGTGTCTCATACCAAAAAAGGACCTTGGATTCTGGATGTTCCTGCAGACAACTGCAGAAAATAACACACAGAATGTTTGGTTGTTGGTTACATAAACTTTTTTCATTAGTTCCCTAATCTTACAACAACCTCTTCTCGAGGTTGAGGCATCCAGTTGTGGCCAGTTGTAACTGAGCGTGTCCAAAAGGAGCTTTCAGATGTCAAGGCCAGCTGGAACAGTTAATCATCAGGGTTAAAATTTCATTTACAGCGGGTTCTGTGTGACTCAGATACCCAGCCCTCTGCCTCTTCCCTTTGCTCACAGAATAGTTACTGACTCACATGGAGATTATCAGGGTTCCTGAAAAACTGGAGCATGTTGGCAAGGAGCCCTTCCTCCCACACGGAAAATCCTGCTCATCCTAGGGATTCCTCTGCAGGGAAGTCTGCTTATCTGCATAAACGGGCAGCAGAAGTCAGGAGCAGAAAGCTGTTTCTCTGAACATTTCCCTGCTGGGCTCTGCTGTTCCCTACTTTTTGCCAGCCAAAATACCAGCAGCTCTGGAGTTTGCCATGATTCCCAATTTGGAAAAAAATAATTTGAATCTGCCTTTTTTGTGCTCCAGTAAAATGCTTCTGAATTGTGTTAAATTGCTCTGCAATTGCTGTCACTTGACTCTTACAGAGACTTCAGGTTTTTGGTGGATCATGCAGTGGAAACCATTTCTCATGAGGCTTATGAACACTGTGCTTGTTTTCACTGTGAATCATGGGGTTATTTTTTTTCTTT